TGGTTCTTGCAACAGCCGGCGGAGCTATGGGTGGCGGCAAATGTCCGGCATTTGATGGCGGCGGCAAAACGGAAGGAGGTGGTGATATTCGCACTGCAGGAGGAGGTGACGAATTTGACGGAGAGTTTGAGGACGGAGAGCGGGACGGTGGCGGACTAGTGCCGCCGGAATTCGGAAGTGGCCGGAGAATTGGCGGCGAGCTTTGTGGTGGTGTTGGTGGGGAATATTCAGGGGGCTTGGTTGATTCCGGTGGAGGTGGGCTTTTCGGGGACGGAGGTGAGTTTTCTGAAGGCTTTTTGGCAGGCGGAGGCGTGGAATTTTTTGGTGGTGGAGGTGGCGGCGGTTTGGAGGTTTCCGATGGCGGAGGGGCGGCCGGTGGCGGGGGGTTAGCAGCCGGCGGCGACTTAGAAGGATGATCCGGCGGACTTAATGCCGTCTCGGATGCATTTTCTTTGTGTTTCGAGGACGAGGATTCGAGTTCGAGAGGGGATTTTGTTGGGGGCTGAGAAGACGGAGAAGCATTGGGTGACGTGGGCAGAGAGAGTGAGGTTACATTGCCAGCAGAGGATGATTTTGGGGGATTGGTGGTGGGAGACGATGGGGATGGCGATTCAGGCGACATCTCAACGAACAAACCAACTTGTTGATGGATTTTTTTTCACTATTTTCTAACAGTTTCTACAATGGGAAAAACAAAATCTGTGCAATCTTCAACACCATGCCAGAAAAACCATGCAAAAATCACCCGTGTAACATCACGAATTTCAGTTCTAGGGAACAAAAATGCATGAGCCCCTCAGATTTTTCATGAGATTTATGCAACAATAACATAAACCTGGCCCAAACAACAACTTTCTCCTAAGTGGCTGAGTAATCGATTTCCAATTCGTCCAAAAACAAACACCCTTAGCCTCCTCCAGCGCACACAGAACAACGTCAGCCACGGCTGAAGGCCAAACATCAAAGCCCAATAAAGGAGAAAAAAGACCTGTAATCCCTCAATCAAGTGTATATACAAGCAAAATTCACAACCCCAATCACCAACTTCAACCCAGGAATCAAAATCACTGACCTGAGAGGCGGCAAATATCCCCAATTCGCGGCATGCAGAGGAAAATCGTATGCGAAACGGAAAACAGAAATGGGAAAATCAGGTGGCCATTGTTGTGAATCCGAAAAGGAATGTTGGCTTTAAGCTTCACCTTTCATCTACCATCTCCATATTCTCTACGCACCCAAACATACAGAAAAATCTGGAGAAAAAAGGGATTGCCCTTCTTATGAGAGATTATATTATGTGGATTTCGAAAAAAAAAAAAATGGAATAGCAACGAATGATGGGCCGACGGTGACGTTTCATAAGTGTAAATGGAATAAAAATGAAATTGATAAATTCTGGATATGCTACGGTTTCGTTACGGAACTATTTCGTCGGGTTAATTGTTAGATCATCATATAATCGTTGGGATAGATGATCTAATTATTACAAAACCGACTGAATTGTTCCATAACAATAGCATTTTCCTATATTATCAATGTGAACTTCAATTGTTATTTTAATGATATTATGCATGTTGGTCAAGTAGCCTATACTAGACCAATAGAATAAAATACCTTTTTTTAAGAATTAATTGAAATATACTTCTTTTTTTTTTTTTTGATATTTTTTGTACATTTCTATAGTGGTGTTTGCATATTTGAGAAACGAAAAAATTAAATTAATGACTTTTGATTTTTTTTTTTAAATAGTTGCTAAAATGATTTTTTTGTATGGCCTAACTTTACCGTTAGGCAGGTTGACCGCATACTATATGAATAAAAATTGCGTATTCATATTATCAAATGTCTTACGTATATCGCCCCTATATATAATTCTCGAATGCGCTGAGCCTACGTGGTTGCTTCTGGTGCTTTGAAATCTTACTTGGCGAAGAATCATGTTTCGTAATTAGGTTCGGTCAAATAATATTGATATATTAATAATTAATATCTAGGTTCGACATTCCATAAATATTATTTAGCTAACTTAGGTAATTTAATATCATTTGTACTAATATAACCCTTTAATTCTTTGTAATTTTACATAGTGAGACATTAAATGACTAATATATCCCTGACTTTTGATTTGTTTCCTTCAATTAGCTATTGAATTATAAATGTATTTTAAAAATTGATAACTTTTGTATTTCTTATCGGTTTTACATATATAATATATCAAATTAATCATCTTTTCATGATCTTCGATTTGACATCCATATTGTATATATAAAATAAATAAATAATATTTACCTTTATAATAATAAAAAATAATATTTATTAAATTTTATTAGAAAAATAAAATTATTTCTCAGTTGATATATTTTTGTTTAATGTAGTTATATGTTGTAAGTTAAAAAAATTATTATAATATAACACAAGTAAGTCACACAAATAAAAAGTGTCATACTAAATATATAATAATATATATTTTTATAAAAGTTTTTAAAATTTTCAACTACTTTTTCTCAATAATTTTAGATTTTAAGGAGAAAATTAGCAAGCACCCGTGTAATACACGGGCGTTGTACTAGTTTTGTATTATTTTTCAAAATATGATATTTTGCGTACACAAAAAAAAGAGTGTTCGTCTAATGGTTCGGTCTGCCTACACAAGATGATTCGATTTGGTAATATCTATTAAAAAACGTTATATGTTAACTTGATCTATCAAAGTCATAAAAATTCTCTTTTTTCTATTGTTCTATGTTCTTAATATTGAAAGTTTAATCCCATTTAGCAACGAAAAAAATTTGATCCTAAGCAATTATTTGAATGGTTATGACGTGATTTAATGGTGAAAATCAGACGATAAATAATCTCACAGATAGAATATAATTGATTGGGAAAAATATTGTTTGTATTTTGAAATATCTCTTTCTAAGGGCATTCACATTTGTTCTAGTTCATTAACAGTATCTTTTGAAATTAAAAGAGATTCATAGCATGTAATTTAGAGATTTAGAAAAATTTGTTAAAAAAAAAAATGAAAATCTCCAAAATCTACGATTAGATGCGAATCTCGAAACCGAACCAGACTAAAATTCGGTTCAGTTTGCAATGGAGATTCTTTGAACCGGTCCAGAGATTCAATTTTTGGGATCTCCGATGTTCGGTTGAGTTCGATTCTTTCTGGAGAATTCTGGATCTCCGAAACGAACCAACCCATGCTTTAACCCTACTCTTTGCCCTTTGCAACTGAACTTGTGAATTGTACTAAATAACCTACCGACAATCTTACTCTCAATTGCAAAATTGACAATTCTAACTGGTCTTACATTCATTGTAACTCCACAACTCCTCCAAATCTAATCAACACAAATTGGCATGTCAACCCGTCTTAACAAAAATGCATACTTATACTGTCAAATATTATATAATTTTGTTTATGTTGTTTTCAAAGTACGACATTTTCTAATAAAAGTATGCGTATTTACGACGAGAAGAGTATGTTGACCTAATGATTAAGCTGACCGAACAGACTAACTACTGAAAAATCAATCATCAACCTTGCTCCCTCTGTAGCTCACAAGATTGTTTGGGATATGCACAACAATCTATCTCTTAACATCATTTAAGATGAAGAGACTTAGGGCCTCTTTTGCAATTTCTCATGTGTACAATCCAACAATAAACCAAAACAACAAAACTATGGTGAAGAAGAGAGAGTCTAAGAAGAACGAATATCCATAAAATCAGCATAATTTCCATTAAACCAAACCACTTAACTAAACACATTAACAGTATCTACATAAAAAAGCTGCAACATATATCAAACAAATCAAAGCTCAGTGACAATGAGTAGGGTTCTGATCTGACCAAAACAAGTATATGACCCAAATAATAATAATAATAATTACCATATCTATCTCAAGCAATGCTATCGAGCCTGGAGGCAACACGACGAAGCTTGGAATAAACCTTAGCCGCGGGCGAACCCATGATCAAGCTACAAAGACAATTCCTTGCAACCTTAATACGAGCAAAAGGCCCCAACACATGAATCCGTGTGTCAGCAATCACGACCCGTGTCCCAGTGGCATTCTCGATCGCGAACTTGGTCTTTCCCGATTTTCCTGACAAACGTCCCACCGCACGGGACAGGTGCTCCCCGCGCAGGCTCTTCACGTCCCTGATTTCAAATGAGTCCACATACAGCTCATCACACTTCAGCATACTCTCCGCGTCCCGAAACTCAAAACCAAGAACAAAAGCATGGACAAAATCCGCGCATCTCTGGAGGTGACCGATATCGGGAGTTTCGGGCTTGTTTTTGAGCTCCACACGTCGGGCCTTGAGATTCATTCGAATGTCGACTTTCATGACTTTGTAGATTAAGTTGTATATTTCCTTCCAGGCATTTTCGAGGGGCTTGAGGCGGTGGGCCGGGACATAGACCTTCCGGAACTCGGGCTGTCCGCCTTCGGTGAGCTCGTGGGCCTTCAAAGGGTCGAAATTGGGCTTTTTCGGTAGCTTAGTTTCCGGGTCCATGGACTGAAAATCGATATAGAACGCGGAAAACTAGGTCAGTTAGCATGAATCAAGAAATACAGAAACAGAGCAGTCCTTATACTTGGATAATGTGGGGGGATTTGGCATTTATTTCTGTGAGAAAAATATGAGTAGCTGAGTACAATGAGTACACAATTTACACTGAAACAACTATCATATAAAGACTATAAATGAACCACAATTAATCAATAGCAATCACAATTGTTCTCTTCTTTTTTCCCCAATAAGAGAACTTTCTTTCTTTACCAAGCAAATGTATGAAACCCATTGAAATACTTAGGTTTCTCCTAACTTCAGCCTACAACCACAGCAATCAACAATTTGTCCATCCCAAATAAGCAAATTAACCTATTACATTCTTACAACAATGCGAGATTGAGGGACGAAAGACGCGAGTGCTGCTAATTGATGCCAAAATCAAACAGGAGAAACACATAAGAAGCTTACTTTGATTTCTGAGGGAACCTCTGTGGATTTTCCGGTGGTGATTACCGCCGGCAAGGGGCCGAGGAGTAATGAGGGCTGATGAAAAAGCAAGTTTCACGATAAGTTGACGCCTAAACGGAGTTTCGTAGGGTTAGGTTTTGAGGAGTAGGGCTTGATGCGAAAGCAATATGTAATATATATTTTTTTATTTTTTATTTTTTATTTTTAGTTTTTATCAATATTATATATTGATAAAAAAAAAAAAGTAATTGACCTGATGTAAGGCTTAATAGTCTGTGTCCTTATGTACATTTATTTTGGAGCTATAGAATCTATTCGTTTCGAAAAAAAAAAAAAAAAAGTAATTGACCTGACAAGTAGAAAATACTGCATTGAAATATATAATTGATTTAATATGTGGAGAAGTCATAGTAAAATCAATTGTAATAGTGAAATGGGTTTCGCTCGATCTTCACTCATATTGATGGGACTGAATTTGACTTTCTTCTGCGACCTGCAATAACTAAATGTCGGGAGGGGGATTTTCCGGCAAGAGCTTCTAATGCTTAAGTCAGTGCAAGGTTGAAGATGATGAACAATAATTGAGTATATAGAATGTATGGAGAGTGTGTAAACTGAAAATTAACCTATCACTCCCCTTTATACAGGTGTGTGGCGTCTTGCTCTCTAAGTCTGTCCGGAGAGTTGACCTTACTACCCAAGATGCCCATCCATACTACATGCAGTGTCTCAGACTATCAAGCTTGTCGGTATGCATGCGACCCAATCTAATTGTGACACGTGGTTCAATACTCATATAGCACAATTCTGAGCTAGATGCCTTCTTATCAAATTTTTCCTCAGTAAACAGTCTTGCGATGAGACTAGGTTCACGTCATCAGGTAGAACATCTTCCTTATAAGTCCTTCTATTGTTCATGAAGTCGATTCAACCTCATGCTCCTTCAGGTTGAGCTTCCACTAAGTTTGACCTGTAGTTGTCGTCTCTTGTCGGGAGATCACCGTCGGTCCGGTCATTGTCCTCAGGTCGAGCCTTGACTACAACTCGATTCGTCTGTTTATCGGGTCTAACCCATTAGAAGAAAGCCAATCATGTCCAATCAGTTCGAGTGAAACTCATTTCACTGTTACACCGATTGTTATCTATAAATTTAACAAATATTCCTTTTTGTTGGTAACAAAATATACCTCTATTTAATTTTAAAAAAAGATTAGAAAAAAAAAAAAAAAAAAAAGATGTTGACCGCAAGTTTGGTGAGACAACCATCTAGCGTTGTTATCAAATTTGCAGTGATTTTTATTAGGCAATGCTATATGTACACCCCCCTTTAATAAATTACACAAAGGGCAATGCTATATGTACACCCCTTTTTTACACACAAGGGGGTGTACATATAGACACCCCCTTTTTATTTAATTTGCAACGAAATGCTCCTGTATGATTAGAGAAATGAATATGGCGACAATGATTTGACAACGTTCCCCACATTTTTTATAAATGATATATTATCCAAATATTAAGAAATTAAAAAAATTAAAATAAATATAAAATCTCCTTTTATAATAATAATAATAATAATAATAATAATAATAATAATAATAATAATAATAATAATAATAATAATAATAATAGCTCCTCTGCAAGATTAATATATGATGAGCATTTCACAAATATAAATACTTTTATTAAAAAATACTACCTCCTATTCATTATAAATGTCGTTTTGACTTTTTTGATTCATTCATTTTGTTACGTATCTAGACATATTAATGTCCAGATACATAACAAAATGGATGAATCAAAAAAGTCAAAACGACATATAATTTGAATAGGAGGGAGTATAATACTTTAACAAACAAACAAACAAAACAAACATAGCTTTAGCTCCTCTGCAAGACTAATATATGAGGAGCATTTCACTAATATAAATACTTTTATTAATAAATATCATACTATAGAAAACAAACAAACAAAAATATGACATTTGATACTTGATAGTATATTGCATTCTCGTTTACATAGTATGACGGTCGACCTGCCTAACTGTTAGACTGTCTCGCATAAGAATTTGTGATATATAATTATAGCAATTTGGGTTCAAAACTAACTCATTAAATGGCAGACTAAAAATATAGTCAAAAACGAAGAAAAGGTGGATACACTCGACTCTCACTCTCCTCCCGGTCATGGTAATTGAGACGTACTTCATTTTCAATACAATACGAGCAGTATCGTACATTGAGTCATCTTTCCTAGCATTACTTCTACTGGAAAAAACTCTGTCAAGAATTTCGGTAAGAAAAAGACTGCGGTTTTCTCGGTAAATGTAGCGAACTAGCTCACTAATAACCATATTACTAGTTAAGCCTATTCGCTAATTGCGAGTTTCTCCTGGAAGTGATTTCAGCTGCCCATCTTTTCCCGATTTCAGTTTGAATTTTTCCTTAAATCAATCAAAGACAATACAAATTACTAAAGAAAAAAAACGAACATTATTCAAGTTTCGGAAGGGAATTAATCGTCTGATATGTGTGTACCTGCTGTCGACAGAAAAAATTCATCCAAGACCTTTCCATGCTCTGCCAAATAATGTCCATTTAACAAATTCAGGATGGCATTATTCAAACTTCGAATATATTATTATGGCGATGTAATGAAAAGCAGATAGAAAGTATAAAAATAGGTTTTTTTAGGATGATGTCAAAGTATTTGACCGACTATATTAACTGTTACAAACGATTCAAAATAAAATTTTAAGCTCAAAAGTCAAAACTCACCTGTTTCATACTCTAGTGCTTGCAGAATCATTTCAACCTGAAAAAAGACATCATAATTGTTACAAAGTGTGCAAATTAAAATTCAATATGAAATTGCAGAAAACTGCTTCACCAAAATTGTCCATGTTACTTGCACCTCAAGGCGTAAAAAATTATAATTTTCGTGGAAGAGAAAGTAGTGTAGGCTTTAAATTAAGTCCTAAAAACTGGCGTAAAAATGAGGGAGTACATACTTTGTCGAAATCTTTCACGAGTTTGGCCTCTATAGATGACATATTCTCGTACTCTTGCCACAGTTCTTTGATCTCCTCAGCTGACAAAAGGATATGATGTCACAATTGATGCACTAAAGAAAAAACATAGGACGCAGGTTCTAAAAGACAATATCACCTAATTAAAAATAATATATATATATATATAATATTTTTATTCAAAAATATAAATAACATCACTCAAAAAGTGGGTGTTGAAAACAGAAAACCTCAAAGGGCTATTGAAATAAATAGACTTCATTTGTAATTAAGCTAAATACCACGTATAGGTGTTTGATTATCATTTTCCTCATTACAATATTTATCGTAATTATTATTTTATTCTTTTTTAGGGAGGTGGAGAACATATTCAGACCTCTCATGCCGCCTCCGAGAACCTTGCACATTTCATCCAAGGCTTCTTGCTCCATTCGGCTTTTTTCTTCTTTCGGCACACCATCAGATGGAGTTATATCACCAACAATAGCTACAAAATATAACACAACCTCTAAGTAACACGTTGAAAGACGATAAATAAGCACCGCCTGTTCTGAATAATGTACTTTCCTACCAAAACTGACAAATGAGAAAACGAGAGCACAAGTCAGTCAAAGAGTAGATTAGTAGCACCTTGATAAGACTCCCAGAAGAAAAAGTATAAACAAAAGGAGAAGAAAATTAGAGGGAGGGAGAAATTGAAAATATAGTATTGGTAAATGAGAAATTCTGCGTATCTTTTGACTTTTAAACATATAACTGAAGCACTTAATTAATATTCTTTTAAGATATTCAGACTTTTAGCTTCTATGTTGCTCGATTCCCACATGTATACAGAAGGGGAACTATAGCAAGACAACACAAATAATACTCACCTGACAAATGTTGTTCGGTAATAGTAATAAAATGACAGTTATTAGCATTGTAGAATATAGCCTCTAATGGTGGATACAGATTGGGAGGTTTGATTCTCTTCGAATTCATGAGGTGTAAGGCCATTTTGTGCCATTTTATCATAAATAGAATTAAATATATATTATGAAATTTTATTCGAATAAATATCGGGAGGCGGTGGAAATAAAGGACATAAGAGGGAGGTATTGATGCTCGAAACAGTGGAACACGAATAAGCGAGTCAGAATCATACCATTGAATAAAATAAGAATAAAATACCTTCTGCAATGTCGTGAACAATAGCGATCTTTATACACCTGGTTCATGCGCATTAATAGAAAAACAATATAAATCACACTACGTGATTAACGTGAGACAAAGTAGTATTGAAGCATTTTAGCAGAAATCGTCTTACTCAATAAGTATTATCAAAATATTGCTCATACTGACATTGAATAATTTCAAATATTCTAGAAGAACAACTTATGACCACCTGCCGTATTTTCTTCAAAAAAATTCCGCTGTCCCTTCTTCTTTAAGTATTCTAGAGGGACATTAGTTTTCATTAAGAGTTACAAGGCTTCCGGATAAAACAGACTATTTGTTGACTTATAAGTGCTAGCACACACCTCGTTAGTTTGTGTAAAACGAAGCACATGAATAGAGAAAATAAATGACGAGAAAAAATCTATACACCTTTCTCTGTTGACACCAGGAAGCTCATCAGCAATCAAAGCCATCAATGACATACGGTACATATGATCAGCTATTGACTCAGGTCCCTTTATCCCATGATTGACCCATCCTTTTCGCTTAGTAGACTGCCGTGAGAGAGAGAGAGAGAGAAAGAGAGAGAGAGAGAGATTAGCTTAAAACCATAACAGCTACAAACCAATTTAGCTATTCATATGCATTCTATCCGTGCATCGAAGATTCAACCAAGACGGTATTCAGATGACAATGCAAAAAAACTTGGAAGAGAAAATGCTTAGTCTTTTTCCTTTTTGGAAGCTTTCCTATAATCTTCCCTTCATTTTCCCATAGCTAAGAAACTTAACGAGCTGAGTTCAGAAGTGATACATCATCCTAAGAAAGTGATATTTGCAGAGACCTTCAACACGAATAAGCCGATATTTTTCGTATGCCCACAATTTAAGCACCACGGATTAGAAGGTGATAATATATGAACAATCATACAATAAATTTACTAACAGCCCAGAAATTTGACCGTACTAAATTCAAAACACCTTACACTCTCATCATACCTCTCAACTGTGCACATTTGACAAAACACACACACACACACACACACACACACAAAATTTTTATCACTGCTGAAGCCAAAAACCCCAACAAAAATGCA